ATATCTAATATTAGAGTTTATACTTAGTAATAGAACTTCTAGTAGTATTAAAGCTACTTATAAATATATAAGCTCAGTAGTTATAACTACTAAACTTAATACTCTACTATAAAGCCTATAGAGAGATATCTATACCTTATACCTAATACTAAATACTAATAGATAATAAAGATAGGCTTAATAAGCTATATCTTAATAACTAAATATTTAATAATTATAAGAACTAGTAATATAATCTCTAGTTCTAATATATTATATATTATATAGAATTTATCTATATAGAAACTACTATAGTTTAAAGTATTAATTTAATATTAATTTTTCTAATTATATTTAGATAGAATAAAATTAAATTAATTAGAATTAAATTAAATATTAAATAGTAGAAGTTTATTAGAAGAAGAAGTTAAATTAAGAAAAGTTAATCTATTAATATTAGTTTTATAATATATTAATAATTACTAGAGTTTTATAAATAAAAATATAATAGCTAATTATAAGTTATTATATACTAATTAAATAATAAGATATTATTCTATATAATAGAAAAAGCTTTATATTAAAAGAATTAGTAAATTATTTAAAATAATTTAAAATTAATTTAGTTTTAATATAAAATTAATTTTATATAGTAAATAGAAAAAGAGAAATTATAATAACTTTAAATTTAAAATTAATAAATATAATTTAAGCTTTAAAAAGAATAATTATAATTTAAAAAAATTAGTTTAAATTTACTAAAGAGTAAATAATATAGAAAAAGAAGAATTCTATATTATAATTCTAATAATATTAATAATCTAAAGAAATTAATTAAATTTTTTAAATTTATTAATTTTTCTTTTTTAAACCTATTAAATATCTAATTATAGATTATATAAAAAAATTTTTAATTTTAAAATTTAATTAGGAATTATCTATATAAATATAATAATCTATTAATATTAAATTAATTTAGAATAGAATCTTAGATTAATTAAAAATAGGATCTTAGATTAGATTAATAGAGGGCTTTAAGCTAGCTCTCTTAAGGGGGTTAGATTAAGAGTATTTATAGTATCAGGTTATAGGTTTAACCGGGGGGGGGTCTTAGTTTATCTATATACTCAACTAATGAGGGAAGCCAAAAGAGAGCACTGGATCAATCATGTACAAGGGACAGGAAATAAGAACAAACACCAAACGGGGTGAATAACATACAATGACAAACTTTTAAAACTGTTCCCTTTTACGGAATGACACAATCTATACATACGGCAATTCATCTCAACGACTTTTACGGTGTATCTGACTCTTCAACCAGGTAGCTTTCTCTCAGGTGCACTGTCTCTTGGCCTACCATGCAAGGATCTTCTACACTTACATGGTTTGTCTCGTTCGTTCTTCCAAAGATTGGTGCTGTCATACCAATCGTCATCTCTTCTCTTGATCGCCGGCGAAAGTACGGATGGTAACATAGACTATGCTTTTCAGGCATACGATTCGGGCCTTCTTCTGCTTCATTGCACTGAATTCCGACTCGGATATCAGATCAGTTCTCGCGTGGGTTGCCAAGGCACATTGCTCCTGAGAATGGGCGTATCTGACCAGGGTAAGGTTGACTCGAACCATAACCTATGGCCTGTACTTCATAGTGCCAGATCCACCGCAGTCAACTGCGCTCTGCCACCGTCTCCAACGGGACTTGCCGATGCCTCTACACTAACAAGGCGCGTTGACCAACCGGGTTTACGGTAGGAACTTTTGATGTGGATCGTCTAATCAATCAATTACTCCAACGGAAAGTACGATAAATACTCATGACTACAGGTCTCAAGGATCACAAACGTTAGTTTGCTACATAGCTCCACTATGACGGTACGTATACTTCGTATACTTTGGTATGGATCGATCGGTAGATCTATATTATGGCGATATTTTACCTTATTACCACATTGAATTCGTTGATCTGTATCTGTTGCTGAAACCTTTTTTCAGGTTTTACAGTATGTGCGATAGAGTACTCAATACCTATATTAGCATCAAGGCCAATCATGATTGAGTGAATACTGACGCTAACGTTTGTGATCCTTGAGGCCTGTATGTCGGCAAACTCTATTCTGTCGATCATCTCAACGTAGCTCAACTTCTAAATCTAACCAATTTTGTCAGGTGAGAATCCCATCTCGTGAAAATGATCTGAGAGATGGGCCGAACCTACGTGTGTTGTTATTCTTGCGCGCGGGCTCTTCGTGTTCTAAGGATGGAGTAAATGGGGCACGCGCTATGGGCAGTCTGCAAAACTATGGCGTTGGGGACTTACGTATGTTCGTATACTCTTCCGCAGTTGACTCTGACTTGGGTAGCACTATAGTACAAATGGAAATTACAAAGCTCAATTCCGGGCATGTGACGAATGAGTTATGAGCATGTGATTGGTGCTCACGCCTCCAATCTAATCAGACGCTGCAGTGGAGATATTGACGCGATCACCGCCATATACACTCGCGTTTCTCTCTCCTCTCGCAGGAAGGGAAGTAATCACGATATTCCAATTACGAATCTATATCGGACTGATGTTTGTCGAAGCCTTCGGGCAGAATCATGCAGCAACGCGGTCGCTGCGGCTCATTCTCTGGGGAGGGCCAGCAACCCACTTGTTGCGAAAGTAAGGCGACGCTACTCTGATGATCCTGTTTCGCCGCGCAATTAACTGTTGATGAGCGAAGATCTCCTTGTTTTAGTTGATATGCCGATGAGAAACTGATTGGTATAGCTGCTGACTGAATGGTGGGAGTGTTTTTGTTCCCTTAGCACCCTGCGCCCCTGTGGTGACGCGGGACAGCCATAATCCAAGTACAGGTTTGTAAAACCGTTGATCCTTCAACCATCCCATGCTACGCGTAACTAAAGCAGGTTCGTTGTGCGTATGCGCCTCGCGGTTTCCTATTGGTAAACCGCATTACACGGATCCTTGCACTAGATATCGGACCATCAAGGGACAAGTGACTAAGCTATCGATGTGTTTAAGCTGGGCCGATATTGCCGGCTAGCCAAGTCGTCAAACAAACCTCTCTTGGAGATTTGCCAAGAAGATCGACGCATCCCGGTCTTGGGACGGCTCAATGGCAGGGGATTTCCCGAGAATTATGCGCACGGATCATTCATCAGTGTTTCCTGTAGCTGCACACCCAAACAAAGACACGGATTACCCGTAGTGTGGTCTTCTCTTACACGCTCCTGCACTGCTCATGTTCACTACGAATCGCCGAGCTTCTGCTTTCTCACATTCAGCATGGAGGATACCATCATCTGCGCTCCCACCTGGGTAAGTAGAAAGCCTGGTTCTTGAGGACTGCCTAAATCCCGTGGCTTGACTTGACCTAATTTCCAACTAATACTGAGCGCTTTTAGCCGAACCAACAATATTTCCAAGGGATAAAACAATCAACTTCCATTTCCACGCTAAAATTTATCAACTCCACGAAATCGACCTACCGAATAGGTAGTGATCGAAAGCAGGCAATAAAACTAAAATCCGTGAGGGTAACCAAAAGCAGTTTTCCTTCCGGCCCAAAATCGAGCCAAGCACGCGCTCTGGAAACAAATGGGCCAGTTCTACGTCGATCTAGTAGTCAGCGACGCGATCTATTCCAGGGGCAGCCCGTGAAGCGATGCCAAAGTTGTACTCAGACAGACGCTCTTGTTTCCCAGGGTTTTGACAGAGTCGACGTGGTGAGCTCTGACCTTATGGTTGCTTCTACAAACAGCTTGATGCATCTGCAGCCTAACGAATCTAAGTCTCTAGTTGAGGTTCTGCCTCTGGAGCCGATACAATGGGATGCTGAGCTTCATGCAGATTGTACTCGGGGAAAAGATAAAGTAGACGAAGTAGAAGAGCAAGAGACTGAGAAAGAGAAAGAGAGGGAAGAAGGAAGCCCTGAAAGTCATCTCTGTGCAATTCAATCAGTCTGGGTAGAGAGCCACGAGATTTCTTCGTTGGCTACTAGAGGAAAAACCTTACTACCCTGGATCGAGGATTTTCCAGCTTCATTGTCCGATCATGGAAGGACAACTAAGGACGAAACTTGTGATTCAAGTTTTGGCCTCAGGAATATCCACAGCGGATCATTTCGACTCGTTCAGCCTGATTGGTTACACGTGTTAAAGCAATCCGGTGTAATGCTTATCCCGCTTTCTCAATCTTAAGGGATTCTCGCCTTGAAGCGTGTTGCAGAGTGACGTAACTAAGGCTTTTTGTCTCGAAGGTGATGCTCCAAAATCTTACATCTGCTGCTTGCGTTGCTGCTTTGGATAGGATCTGCTGTATATTAGCAAGAATTGCAAAAGACAATACAACTAAGCCATGCTTTTTAATGTTCTTCGGTGTCATGTAATCAATTACAAGTTTGTGGAAGGCTTCTGAAGTTTTGCTTATGTCAGAATTAAGCTGCATGGAACCCATTGAGTTGATAACTTTTGATTTGTCTTTATTATCAAGAATTTAAATTAGTAGCTTTCTATTTTATACTTAAATACTTTACTTAAGTTAGAGTGTCGGTAAGAGTTTAATAAGTATTAACTCAAAAGTCTTATGATTAATTGTTTAAGCGTTATTCCCCGAAATAGCTAGTATCAGTATCGAGTTGGTGGGTTCAACGCATGGCAACCTGAGTGACGACATAGTCCGTGCAACAGACAGCAGACCGCCGGGGTAAACCTTAATATGCTTCCCATGCTGTTCCCAGGCATACAAAACTCCCTCAAAAATTTCAGCGAGTTCGTCACTGTCCCACACACTTTCCCTGATCTTGAGCCTTTTCAAAACCCCAACAGTTCTACGTAGAAGACTAGAATCCTCTGTGAAGGCCCCTACGTATAACAGTGAAGGGATAATATCGACGTCGAAAGTGAAAATAGGAAAGCTTCGAGGTTTCATATAATGAACAATACCTTCTGCCTGCTCAAGAATAGCCTCCAGCTCACCTGGCCGGATATTGATATCAATATCTAACGACCAATTATCGCCCTTCAGCAGGGCTGCCCATGTCTTCTGCCGTAGCTTGAGTCTCAAGACTAGGCGATGTTCTTCCTCCGTGAATCGATGCCCCGGGTCCTCGACATACAAACCGAAGCAGGTATTCCACCATTGGAACCACTCATACATCATCCAGTACATGCACTTGTCCTGCTGACTAAATTCGAGCGGAGCATCAGGGGCGCATAGCAAGGATTCAAGCCCCGCAACAGATCGATTGTCGTTGTCGTGAAAAACTTGCTCGTAGAAAGCGTCGTGGGCTACTTCCAACCGATGTAGCATGTCTCTCGCTTCAATTGCAGTGGTAAAAGGCGCAGGGCAAGGGGGGAAACTTGAGAGCTCGGCATTTCCAGGATGTCCAAACATGGTGAAATGAGAGATCAGGTCGTCGTCAATTAGAACCGAGGCGCCCAATGCTAACCGTGAGAACAACACAGCTAGGTGACCAAACTCATCTTCATTTCGGAGAGCTTGATCGACGTCACCGTGCCTGTGAAACCCCAAACGTGGCAGCGGCGCGGGTAGTGACATAGTGCTCGCCGGTCGTGCAGACATAAGCAAATGCGAACCTGCTCGCAAATGTCTCAAAGCCTCAGAATAGCAGCCCCTGAGATTCTCGATACAGACGAAAATGAGACAGCACATGAGGACTGTGCCGAGAGTCCCTGTGTTGGGGTCAGACATATCCGTCCGTAAACATCGGATCGAAAGATTATAATGTTCTAGAAATACACTGAAGCATTGGTCATTCCTAGATCTCATAGACGGCGAGCCTTGTTGTGACATGAATGACCAGTGTACAGCACCTAGCGCGATCAAGCCGTGGCGCACTGCCGCTAAATTTTGGCCCGCACGTGGGACATTCTCTCGCCAGAAGTGATACTGAGATGCGAAGTCACCCAGATTTTGAATGGTAAAGGATACGGCGTGGTGAAACGCCATCTTCTCGAGACGCGAACCGTCGAAATCTCCCGGATATGGTTGACAAGATGGCGACGGCAACGAAAGCTCTTGGCCCCCCAACGTAGAACTGATCGTCATTGTTGGCCCGGCCGATTGATAGCCATCACACTTCAACCCACAGCTGCGACACCGCCGACATATAGGCTTCTCTTCGTCGCATTTCAAATGGCGTGTCCTATCCACGGCGTTTTAGTACGGGGGGTTAAAGTAAAGCTGGGGAAGATGCCGGGAGACCTCACTTGCTACAAGAAAATTAGCATGGCACGCAACGAATAGCAAGAACAAATGGCTTACCAAGTAAAACAACCCGTTTTGACTTTCGGTGCCTTGGCCCTTGTCCACTTGATACGCGCAGAGGTATGGTTGCGCTGTGCCATGATGCAGGTAGCGAGATACGGCATTTGTTTCCTTCGCAGCTGGGATGGAGGGTATGTGCTTTTTATCTTCGCATTTTGTGTACGGTAGTTCCGATTGGAGGACTGTGTGGGGCAACCTCAGTACCCGCCGTGAGGCACTTGTACTATTATGTAAATGACCAGGCAGGCGATCTCTTCATAATGCGATGGGTGTTAATTAGAACCGAGGCAGGGAGTTTATTCCTATCGGTACCTACTTGTCTACTACTACGTTCCAAAACCCCTTATTGCCCAGTGGATGCCCCAGCTTATGAAATAGATAAAAAGATATTTTACTACATCGGTAAAAACGATTCTCCTACTTACGCGTATAATACAAAGAAATGTAGTAGATAAGGTGAGTGTGCTGTTATACAGCAGTGTTATAATACTATTGATTGTAAACTTAATTCTCGTCTATTGTTGCTCGTCGATCTAGCTGGTATATAAAAACAATATTTTAATAAAGAGGAGCGGAGCTGGTGTCTTCTTAAATTAAGATTAACATGCATTTCAAGAGGTACTAAACTTTACTCTTAAGGGTAACAATAATAGTTGGTTGTCCGAATGCGTCAGAGGACTGATGTTCCCGCACGAACATAAAACAAGCCTTAATACAAGCACTGATTTACAGGTTGTCTTATTTGACATATGTTTTGAGTTGAGCTGTTTCCCTGCTCCGAGTCTCTTATACATCTTTATACTGGGGTCAGGCTGGAACAGGCTGGAACATCGCGGCTATAAATATCATCACGCCCAATTACCTAGAACATGTGTCATAACAGTCCTTCGTCTTTACAGTCACTAAGGTAACAAATTTCCTTAATGCCTCTCTACTAAAATTTTCCTCTGCTTAATTTCCCACTTGTGTTATATTTTCCTCCTCCTCTTGCAATCTTCCCGTCGACTCCCTACCCTGAAGATACCAAAAGAGTCCCATTATGCGTCTTCTTTTCTCCTTTCTGGTGCTGCTCTGTCGGCGGGGAGAATTTGAGAGCTGCCATTGGCTGCTGCGTACCATTGTGACTGGTAAATTCCGATAGGGACGCTCCGATCGTGAGTCATATCTGCTCATCCCCTCACTAGAGGAAGCCTCATTTACCAATAGCCGAGCTAGAAACGGCATTACAATATATTTGATAGAGTAAGTGGCTTACCAAGCACATTAGCCAGGCTTTACCACCACTATAACGCTATGGTGTGAGTTTAAACGCTTTGAAGAGAAAGAGTCTTGACAGTGCGGCCATGCCCCTAACTATTAGAGTAGTTGTAATCTTGGTGGCGTACTAGCTAAAACCGAGGCAATAACCACAGACTTTTAACCTATCACGTCAGCCAAATTTTCCAGTATGAGCTAAGTGTTTTGCCAATGATCGTATGAGCTAAGTGTTTTGCCAATGATCGTATGGTCATAACGGGTCGGCCTGTAAATGGGAGAAAGACTCGGTGAATATACGATTGAATATGCTTGTAATCGGCATTATCACTTTCTGGGACCAGTGGCAACGGACACATCGTCATTCAAAGCGACAAGGCGTGATGACATTTGCAAGTTCACAATTGGTCCCTCGTTGGTTTTGTCAATGAATATTTTGATCTCCAATCCTGGACGTCATTACTTAATAAATCCCCTGTCAACCGCAAGATGTCCTCGTAATTTCACGTGAACTTATGCCAATCGAGAGCCTGAAAAACAAGTTGAGCTTACAGAGAAAGGGGCGTATTATGGTTACTTTCTAGACAGCGCTAATGCCGTAATTTAGAAGAGGGAGGGTTCCGAGCCTGCTTTGCACCCACCTCTGGGTTTGAACCGGCGCTAATTTACGAAGCAGCGAGTAAGGTTCATCGCCCCCAGTTTTATTCGTCGTATTACAGCACGTAAGCTTGGTCATGGCGGCGGGGTAGGTAAGTACTTGCCCCTGTTTTTTCCTACATGTAGACCAGCTAGGTACGAACTGGTAAACAGGTACAAGATACGCATATGGGTAATATAAATTCCCTACTTGGCTATACACAACAACTGTCTTAGGCGAACTTGCCGTGCAAACACTCAGACTTGACTTACACTACACCTCTTTTTTTTTTTTTTTGCTTCATCTCTTCTTCTCTCGATGCGGCTCTGGTTAGGTCTCACTCTCTCCATGGCTACTCTGGGGATTTCCGCCGGTAAAGGACGACGTCCTGCAGAAACGGCAGACATGGCGCGAGTGGTGGCTCTGCGAAACCTAGCCCTGTCTCCCGATGGAGAGCTAGCACTTTATAGCCGTGCCGACCTCGCCGAGTCTGGGGACAGGAAGGAGCCTTCTCTCTGGCTCTTGGATGTGTCGAATGGATCATCTTCTGCACTCTCCACTGACCTCAGCAAAGCTCGGAGCCCAGCATGGTCGCCTGATGGCTCTCAAGTCGCCCTGCTTCTCAAGGATAGCAACGACTTGGCCCAAATCTACCTTCACTCAATTCATGAACATACTACCAGGGCCCTCAGCAATGCTCCAGGGGGGGTCAATAGTTTTCTTTGGTCACCTGACAGTAGTCATATCGCGTTCCTCTCAACTACAGAAGACGAAGAATTGGCACCACCACCTGGCGTCAAAATTCATACAAGGGCTGACTTTCGCTCCCAGGGTGATGCGCCTGTGGTATCGTCCATATGGGTCATTGAGACAACTCAGAAGACTCATCAACCTGAAGCGAATCAGCTCGTCAAAATGGAAGGAGACGTCGTGCTTTCCTTCTGGTCGCACAACAGCTCAGCAGTCTATTACACCACACAGGATACCTGCGAGCCGTACTATGGGAACGGAAAATCATCGTTGCGAAGCGTGAACATCAAGAGCGGAGAGAAGGAGCTGGCAAGGCCCTTGAAAGTTCCTGGCAAGGGAATTGATCTAGACTCTGCACCGATTTTCGTACCTAGCCCCGATGGCTCTCGACTCGCTTTTACACTCGGGAATCCGGATGCTCCTGAAGAGTTTGCTCAGCCAAAGTTATATCTCATGGAACTCGAAAGCGGTAAGGCTGAAATCGTAACCGACAACTACGATCGTGAGATCGGAGACGTCTTTCACTGGTTGGACAATGATCGAATCGCCGCCATCAATTCTGATTTTGGCAACGCAAATATTGTTGTGGTTGATACGCGAAGCCACGATGTCACGCCTCTTTGGACAGGAGACAGGGTCGTGAGTAACTTTGCATACTCCGAGAAAAGTAAGCGTGCCATCGCGATCGCATCCGACTTCATATCGCCTCCAGAGATATACCGCATCACCGATGGGGGAAACGCCGAGGCTCTTACTAGCGTCAACAGATTCCTACGCGAGGAGCTTGATCTAACGAAACCAGAGCAAATATCCTATAAGGGACCCTCAGGGCTTAGAGTCCATGGGTATTTGTACAAGCCCCCTGCATTTGATGCGAGCCATATCTATCCTCTGATCACCTTAGCCCACGGTGGTCCCTATGCCTGCTGGACGAGTGAATATATGGCGGACGTGCAAGCAATCACCGCGGCTGGCTACCTCGTCTTCCTACCTAATCCGCGTGGAAGCGAATCTTATGGTCAGGATTATGCAAGCGCCCTCTCTGTCGGCTGGCCTGGACCCGAATATGATGATATCATGACCGGAATAGATTATTTGGTAACGCGACCTTATGTTAATGGCAAGAAACTCGGTGTCTCAGGTGGCTCGGCGGGTGGCACCTTGACAGATTGGGCCATAACCCATACTAGTCGTTTCGGAGCCGCTGTTTCGATCAGCGATATTGCTGACTTCAACTTGTACTGGTTTCTTGGAGACCAACCGAGTATGACTGGCCCTGAATCCGAACCTTGGCTCGACGGACAAGATAGGAAACACTCTCCCATCACCTATGCGAAAAACATCACTACGCCAACACTCTTTCTATCGGGAACTGAAGATGCTAGAACACCAGCTGCTGTTGGAGGAGAGCAGCTGTTTATGGCTATGAAGCAATTGCGCGTTCCCACGGCATTTGTTCAGTTCGAAGGTGCTGGCCATGGGCTTAGTGGAAGCTCTGACCCGAGACATGCAGGTTTGGGAACTTCATACTTGATCAAGTGGATGAACTTACACTTGGTTGGAAAGCCAGCTCCTGAGTTTGGCGTCAACTGCCCGGAGGTGTCGAGCTAAAATGTGTGGCTCAGGGTGTATGTGCGGGTTTTCGCGCCTGGAGGTCAACAAGACTTCAGTCATGGTCTAGCCAAGACGTTTATGGACAAGAATCTTCATGTAGCGAGCCAGGTTGGTATAGAGCCGGGGATGACCTGCAGAAATTGCACTATCGCTGTACGCTCAAGCTTTATATTTGGGTGTTTGTTGTTTTTGTGCCGGAATTTCGACTTCAATGTCACTCAGAAAGAGAAAGACATATAGAGTAGTCTCTTATATCAATTGCTATCAATCTATGCAAGTTGCGATTAGCAGCTTGTGAGTGCTTAGAGAAGTTTTATAATGAATAACTGCCAGTAGTAAAACGACTTCGTAGTTGTTCTTGATCTTGATAATAAGTCTCCGCCTTTCTGACTCAAATCTGGCATTCTTTTCATCGACTATAGTAGCTGGTAGGACCTGATTATCCATGTCTCTCACGTCTGGTAGTCAGGCTGGATGTAATGCATCATACTACACCAAACAGATCATGGCAGATAGTCAAGTCACACGCCTCGTGGTAAGTATGAATATTTACGAGAGAAGAAACGACAGACGTGGCGAGTTTGAGGTTGTAGTTATATAAAGATCAAAACTAATCTAAGATAAGAAGGGTAATGGAAAGTAGGATGCAACAACGCTGCTTTTAGAAAGCTTACCTGAAGGTTTAGAACCAACAAGCTTTAGATCGTGAATTGGAGTCTCCCTGTGGGCTAGTCCAACACTTTAATAAAAATGTCACTGCTTCGGCCTGGTCACGAGGCGAAGAATGACCAGCTTCGTCAATAGAGACAAAAAGCAAGTTCCCTGAACTCTTCCATTCGCCACCACGAACCAGTGTACCTGAGCTCTGTGGCCAGCGCCATTCTTCAAAACTGTGGGATCTATATGACGCTTGATTTTTCCAAGGCAAATTGTCATAGACTCGCTTTTGCCCTTCTGTGTTCCTGTTCACTAGATTAGTAGACGATCTATGGATATAATGGCTAATACCTACACTATTATGTCATTGTTGCCATTCAGTACCAACACTCGTGTAGGCGTATCGTCTAGGATGAAACCAACCTCCCGCACAGTAGGAATATTTGTTTCCTTCTTTGTTGCCCACCGGGAATTGAGGTCAAAGTTGATCCCTTGGAAATTGCTTTCCGATACTCCGAGAGCAGCTTTTACATGAGGTAGATTCAAGTAGTCACTGTAACCAGTGCCGGTGAAGTCTTCGCAAAAGGGTGGATTGCTGCCGCATTTTCTTCGATCATCGTAGGGATCCATGCCCCCTTCTACAACCTCGTCGCTAAATAAGTGCCCGAGATTATCGTCGCAAGAAGCACCAGCAGAGTCGCAAAGGTTAGCATCGTACGTCGAGCGACATTGCTCGACAACCCTCTCACATGCAGGGACTGCCGCACTCATTGCCTCGCAAACAGTCTGGTTGAAAGTTTGGCGCCAACTTGGTCGGTTGTCACCTGTGTGGGCACAGAGATGGTCATAGTAGCCTAGGGCGCCGGACGAGATTGCATCCACGGTTGCATCAACCAGGACGATTGAGTCGACGTACGGGGCTATCCGTGGCGCATGAGCTCTGCGCAAGTGCTGCGTATGATGTAAGTACTGCGTGAATCCAGGAATATACCGCCCAGCAAAAGACTCTCCTGCAATATGGAGGGATGCGTTGGAGAATTGTGGGAACATCGTCCTGAAGAAGTAATCAATGAAGTTGCCGAAATCCTCGGCAGCCTCTGATAGATTGTCTGGTCCCCCGAAAGTCCCGTTCCTGGCTGTAGAGAATCCTGTACCTGCAGGCTGGCTTTCTTGACTGTCAGAAAAGGCTACAAGAAGTTGACAGTTCCTACTTACTCCAAGAACAAGACGTTAGCGAAATTGGTCCAGCTGTGCGGATTACTGATTGTGTCATTGTTGTATGAGTTGGTGAGACAGGGTCCAATTTCTCGAAACAATCCAAACATGGAAGATCCCCCTGGTCCTCTGGAAAAATGTTAGATCGGGGGGGAAAACATTGGACGATTAGATTTGAGGTACCCATTGAGCCAGATGATGAAAGGGTCATGAAGCGGATCAGAGCGACTTTCGAAAAACCCTGTTTGCCAAGTGTTAATAAGAAAACCCAGGGACGAGTTCGGTTCGGTATCTTCGTCGTCTTACAAAAGAACAGGCTTTTCTCGCTTGTCACCGCGACCTTGCCTGTATATTGTCGGCTGCCAGCTTTGCATAGTGTTTCATTCTGCTGCTGCACGGTATGGTGAGGGCTTGTCACTTGATGGGCTCCCGATGATGCGATCAAGGCAAGCGAAATCGCGATGACGTTTACGTAGGCAACAAGGAACTTCATCATATCAAAGCTACCCGATAAGGGGATTCCACAAGAGTGATGAAGAGTGTCTGAACAAATAGTGTGCTGCCCCTCGGCGTGTGAACAGATGCTGCAGCAAGGGCAAGTGAATAGCCTTTTATTTTGATTTCAGCGAACTAATTGTCCTCCTGGAGCTTATTAGGTACATAACAAGCTACCAAAGGCGCTACGGCGGCTGGATGTGGAGTTGACCAACGGGTACAGGAAAATAACGGCTCCTTCGTACTGGTTGAGGGGCTCTGGAGAATTTAATTTCCAGGATCATTTCTTTCCCTGGCCCTCCTTCCGCGTATCTGATGAGCGAATGATGTGTTTCCACCTAGTAAAAGCCATTTTGGCTGTTGAGTAGCTAACCCCCCCCCCTTCCCTACTAGATTAAATTTTATCTGGTATACCGCACATTATGCCCATCCTCATAACGCACCTCAGTTTCAATAAGACGTCCCAAGGAGCCGTTCCCCATTCTCATTAGTGTTGCAGTAAACGGCAATACAAACGATGCGTTTCAAGCTCCGATCTCATTTTGATGAAAGTGGAATTATGGCACCTATCGACGGTTGACAAGTCGGGAATAGCGAGCGGCCTATTGATCAAGCTCTCTCGCTGCGAATGCCTAGAGGAGATAATCGTGGATCTAGTCGAATACGTGCTGTACTAGATTTTTCTCTCGTGGAGTAGTTCTTTATTCTTAAACAAAACGCCGCGTTGTAAATGCATTCCATAAAGTTGATATTCCAGCACCGTGCAAAATGAGTCAGTAGAACCGTGGCCAAATCTGATAAATTAGGGTCCTTCTTGGTATCCCGAACAGTCGACAGCAGTTATACCCGATACCTAGCAACCCTGATAAACTGGCCAAAACTTATAATCTCTACGGTCTTCTCAGCAAAGGCTATGGAGATAATATAACCCTTGTAATATACCGCAAGGCTCATGGTCTAGTAGGAATAAGTCTATTATATTTGTCTACTCCCTCCTCTAGGCTCTTTCTGACTAGAATGATGTCCAACGCCTAAGGGTCCCATTGCATAATATCCCATTTTTCCGGTTGATTTGGTCGCCATATCCAATATCCAATTGTCCGGAATCCGAGTTTAAGATAGAGCGGTTTCCCCGCCGGCGTTGCAGACAGATAAACTGGAAGGTTTTCTGTCCTAGCCCTGTTCATGCCCCATTCCATCAACAGTCGTGCAACACCTCGGCCTTGAAAACCCTTATCAACTCCAATATCTAGCACTCCGTGATAATATCTGGGCTTTTCGTAGCCGTCCACGAACTGCTGTGAGTCTGGTTTACTACATATCTGGGCCATTGCTCTTGAATGTGATGCGCTCAGGATAGGATTGGCCAAATCAGACAAATAATCCACAATCTCGGATTCCAGAACGTAGCTTTTGATTGCTGGTCAGAGTTAGAGATGATCGATTAGGGCAAGGCAAACTCAGTTTTGACTTGCAGAGGCTGGCTATCACATACCTGAGAAGATCGATCCGCCTTGATCCTTCCCATCTTGATCGTCAGGTGCCTCCTGTGCATATTCGGTCTCGCGATACCAAATACAAAATCCTACGATTGTCGGAGTACCATCCCAATAATTATCCGTTTCATCGAGGGTCACCACAATCAGCGTCGCAGTAGTATCCTCTAAAGCACTGCGGGCAATGCTGGCCTTGGCCTTGATGTATAATTGTGGATAGTTGAAACGTCGTGGATACATATACGCATCTTGTGGATCATCCTCATATGCAGAGACAGGAACAGTTGCAATTTCTGCAACATCATCGTGAGTCGCAAGCCTAACATGCATATTGTAGAAGATCAAAAGAAAGGTGCGGACAATGTGATGTGTCTAGCTTGAAGAGAGAAGATGAAACAGCCCAACGAAAGACGTCATGACTAAAGAAACATCATATGTATAAGAGCTTCCGTCCGTGCACGTACTGACTAACTTTGTACAGTACCACTGGTCTGCCACTAGTCTAGTGATATATATAGTCAGTCTTTCGTCACTCGGCCTCTCCAATTGGCTGTTTCGTAACTCGATACCTCGCCAAATCAATCGTCCATATTTCGGCATAAATTCCAATTGTCTTGATTTTTCGCCAGCCTCGCCAGGATGGCCAGAGGCTTGCTAGTGGCTTATAACAGGTCAGGATTGGATTCAGCATGGATTGATTTCTTTCAATAACCATCCACTTCAAATAAAACAAAACTACCGTACTTCAGTCTTGATCTAGTCTGCACACGAGGTCACGGCGCTGCCGATGAAGGACATATGCAAAAGAACATTTCACTGTCGGCCAGACTCATGGAACTGTTGTCCATTCGAGAACAGGCAAGATTCCATAACGGTGGCCAAGTATGACATTCTGACATGTACTAGTTCGAAACGGTCTAAACATGGGCAGGCTTGTTGACTCAGTATTATGATTGGTTGTATCGTAATTGAACGTGAATCAGTGCGTCAACGATGTGGATATAGTTCTTAAGTTCCAGTTCAGAAAGCAGGCACTATCGTCAGCAAATCGATGGCGTTCTAGCCTTCTGGTGGAACCCAGGATTTTCTCGTACGAAGAAGCCTATCAGAGAAGCCTACGCTTCTTTCATGACCTACTCCACTACTCCACGCAATCCAGCTAGCGCTTTTAGCTGTAGGAAAAGTCAATGCTTCTTTAACCCTGTCCGCGATCCAAGGTTGCGCAACAGAACCTCCAAGCTATAAAAATCTTTCCGACTTTCTACCCGAGTCATTGGAGTTGCTCTTTATCGATTTCGAAGAGACCCCTGGAAAAGAGCTTTTACTCCCACTAGCTCGAGCAATTTCAGAGGGAGAACATAAAAATCTAAGGACTGTACTGTGGCTTGGCACCGAAGGATGGGAGTGTATGTCGATAGATCGGAAAGCTGATGAGAATTGGTTGGAGGAGGACTCTTGGAAGGAGCGGTTACCCAAAAAATTGTACAATGTCAGGGGTGAACGATTCCCTGACTGGCTTGAGATGATGGATCGGCCAAATACGCAACCCCCGCTCGGGACTACGATTTGAGACACGAGGCATCACCAATAACGGTCCAACATACCCCAGGCATGGCCTGTTTTTTTTCTTTTCCCATTTTCACTTTTAGTCTTTTGGCCTTTACCCTGCTTCATCCTTATAAGTTTCAGCAACGAGATGGAGCTTGTTACCAGGGAGAACATACACTTGTGTAACCAGGGTGGTTTTGTCCCAAGAATTATATACGGAAAAGCTGACGACCTAATACCCAATTCGAAAAGAATGGAATAGATTGGATTCACGCATATTATATCTACATACTTGCTCTTCCTACTAGAGGTGCACTCCTTGAATGATGGAGGCACACAGTGGCTCTACGATACTGGATGATTCACATTTTGAGCGGAAATGGGGATTCTCCGAGGCGCAACTCAGACTCCTGCTGATTTCACAGAGTGAACGTCATCAAACAGGAGAGATAAGGCGATGATCTTGTTCGGCCGAGGTCACGCCCTGCTGAAGTAATCTTCAGACGTAGTCATCTACCTCCAAATGAACGATCTATGTGTCATTCATTGTAAGACGAGCCAGTTTACCAACGGAAGTTACTCCTAAGGCCGGAGATAAACTTGAAGAGTTGCCATATTGGTGTGTAAGCATGCTCACTTACAGCTGTTCACGGGACTGCCACGAGAAACGGTACCTGAGACATGAGTACCTTGACGTGGATGTCTCTGCTTCTGAGTAGGTGCATATGGAAAAGTACCCAAAGCCCATTTTCCCCAAATGCTTACATTTCAAGTTAGTCTCATCTGCTATGCATACCCATGTAGTAGGAAGAGAGAATATGTCAAATTGAGATGTCGGTCTGGGTTCAAATCACCAGTAGAGAGAGGGCTTAGATCTCGAACAGGCACACATCAGGGAATACGTGGATTGGAAGCACGCCCAGTCATACAGATTGTGGTGCGAAGGGCAAGAAGCAGCAACACGGCAAAACGTATGTGGCGTATCTCTGGGCAACTACTGCTGAGTGTGCGACGCGTGTTGCACCATCATGTTATCCCCTCCATTCCAGTAGGTGTGCTGTTCTCTACCCGCCCACCGACACTCCCCGAACACTCTAAACTCCGACGGCCGACATCTCGATTCAATCTTCGGGGTAAGCTCGTCGAAATACGAGTTTCTATTGGCAACGGTTTGGTTGTCTGAGACTTGCATTTCTTCTTTTCCGTCGCTATGCCCGGAGTGAGCCACATTATTCCCATCGGCGACATGTGAGACGTGGATAGTCTGGACCATTTCATATGTCATGTATCTGGCATAAAGTATGAGCAGGAGGAGGAAAATCCTGATTTCCCATGAACCTTTCTCCGAAACAGACCTTTTGCTGCCCAGGAATCTTGCGTGTCATGAGTGATTCATCACGGAGCCAACTGTGGAAAGCTTTTGTCTCATTATAGTGGGCATAGGCTTACAAGTCACAGAGAAGTATCTTTTTACCTGTATATACGATTTAATACCCAAATAAGCCTTGGAATAGGCTCATCTGGACGTTGTGACCCTCATGTACAACACAATACCTCATCGCCCTAGAAGCCGTTGTTGAGTCGATCGGCACGGGGAGTCTCCGCAAACGCTTACTTACTCATCATCGTCATCTTGAACATCTAACCCACTAATATCATCTCCGTGGTTAGGGAATGCTTGGATAGTTGAATCATGATTTCCACAGGCCCTGCTCCATCAAGGAGGTCGTGTCTTCCAGCCATTGGTGACTGATACAAGCCCGTGTCCACTTACGAAAAAAGTGAGAGAAGCAGCTGGTCGAAACAGGCATCTCGATGTCTCACAACGTCGCCTATGGCCTACCGGTCATGTTTTCGGCGTGATATATAATCATAATATCATGTGGTCGATAGAGGCTGCTCCTACTGCGTACCAGGAGGCATCCGGTCCAAACGAGGTGGCTGAAACCGAGATTCTGTCTTCACTGAAACAACCCGCAGCCACCATATCTCATCCTCGTGCTTTAAATGCCATGTGAAGATATAAGGGAATCATCTATCCCTGCTTCCCTCCCTTTCCATTCCGGGCTGCTTATATCAATCTACAGCCATCCGACCTTGGCTTATTCCTCTGCTGCTTTCTCAAGCGCTACCCATCATGAAGTTCTCCAGTATACTTTCCCTGACCTCCTTGGCCTCAGCGGCTCCATATTTTCACAGCAATGAAGGCTCTCCTGATGCTCTAAGCGTAAAGCTGGAGATGGTCGGTAATTCCGACGTCAAGGCTAGCATCACAAACAATGGCAATGCCAAGCTCAGACTACTCAGAACTGGAACAATACTCGGCAACACACCCGTCGAGAAGGTACAGGTGACTCAAAATGGTACCATAATATATCTCTTACTTCCCCTTTTATCAAGAACAAGTAAGCTAAATATATCAAAGACCAGGAACTTGCCTTTGGCGGCGTCCATCTGACCATTGCATATGACATGCTCGAGAACGGAGCATTCCAGGACATCGACGCCGGGCAGACAGCCGAGGTCACGTTCGACGTCGCGCAGATCCGCGACCTCTCGCGGGGCGGCAAGTTCGACATCTCGGCCACGGGCAGCATCCCCTTCGCCAACGAAGGGTCCAACACGCTCGCCGGCGCCGTCTCCTACGCGTCCAACAGGATCCAGGCCGACGTCGACGGCCAAAAGGCCAGTCTCTCCCGGCTGGTCCTCGACCAGAAGCGCACCGTCGTCAAGCCGGACTGCACGGGTTCCAACTACACCATCGTCCGGGCGGCGCTGCGCAACTGCGCCAACCTAGCCCAGGCCGCCACGCAGGCCGCGACGTTCGGCCCGGACGCGCGCATGCAGCAGTTCTACCAGGCCACCGACAAGACCACCCGCGGGATCGTGGCCGGCGTGTTCGAAAAGGTCAAGAACGAGTGCCTCTCCTTCGACGGTGGGGTGTCGTCGCTCTACTGCTCCGACCGCTTCAACTCGTGCGCCGAGGGCGTCCTGGCGTATACGGTCGCCCAGGCCAGCTACATGGTGTACTGCAACCTCTACCTGACCCGGCTGCCCCTCAACTCACAGTCGTGCTATGGGCAGTCGCAGTCCAATACCATTGTCCATGAGGTTACGCATCTTAGCCAGGTCAAGGGCACCAACGACTATGGCGGATACGGTGAGTGAATATATAACAAGCAACGTAATTTCTTTCTTAAGCTTCGGATCAGCTAACGCTTGCATAGGAATCTCTTCTGTTCAGAACCTGACGGCCGCGCAGAATATTAACCACGCTGATACCTATGCCCTCTTTGCGCAGAGCACATTCGCCGGGTGCTAAAAGCACCATTTTAAACGGTTTTACTTGATAGCTTCGGAATGTATAGTTTGGTAGTTCGTTATTAATTGCTTTACAATCGTCAGCCGGGTTTGTCGGGAGAGGTGGGGAAGCGAGCACAGCTGAACTGGAAGAATCTTAAAGTTGGAATAAAGTCTATTTTCGTTAAATTGCATACATTCAGCTTTCAATGTCGATGTGGTTTGGTGATCAACTCATTGACATTATCTTAGAAGTTAATGCTTTCTTTCCAGGTTGGGCATAGGCTGCTCCCATCGGGACGAGAAGAATTGCTACATCATTTTGAGTCTTTACTTGTATCAAGGCTCCTCGTCTTAGATTTATAGAAACGAGCGCTGAATCAAAATCACAATTGTAGTTAACAGGGCTCTTCTTGGTCATGTTTGGGGAATATGCTAATTAGATACGGCGCAAGCACTCTTAAAGTATAAGTCAAAGGAAGTTTGATATCTATCGTGATAAATATCCCATGATCCCCACCAAGTGGGTGAAATCAAACATGGCATACCGAAGCTCTTTCCACATGAGACAGGGACCTCATTTTTTAACTAAATACAATAAGAAGAAAATAATAAGAGAATAATTAACTATTCGATGATATTTAGCTTAATCTTGTATTCTGTACTGGGTTATTTATTGTGATATTGTGTTGAAATTCAGTGCTGAACTATCTCGATGTACCATGTTTTATTTCACCCACTTGCCCACGTAAACGTCCGTGGTAATTATAACCCCTGCAAAACCTAATGATGATCTCCATCTTCATACCAATGGGGAAACCGATGGAGATGCTGCTCCGAGGTAATGGGGCAACATGCTCACCCGCCTTTGAAGAGCCGTTGCAGGTAGAAGAGGAGTGGAATTTATTGTCTTTGAATCTTTGAATCAAAAGCAGCACAGTCTATTTTTTGGGACTTGGAAGATCGTCAAGTCAGAATGAATCAATGATGTAAGATACAATTTTACCATGTAGCGCCGTCTGAAGCATGCCCTCCTAACCAGCAGATTAGTTTTTTCCAACTGGTCTAATAATTCATCTCCGGCCCTTCTTTTAGAAAAACATAAAAGATACCTAAATAATACCATCTAAGAAGAAAAGAGAAAGAGAAAGAAAAAGAAAAACACCTGTTAATGCCGTATCGCTGCCTATGCTCCGGGGCTGGTTGTTGCGCCGAGGCCCAATGAACCCGTTGAAAGAAGGTTCTTTCAAGGTATATGCTGTTTCTATGGTAATTAAATCCCCAGGAATGCAAAAACAAGCAATGCAATACGAGGAGCCAACCCCTGAAGCCACGCTCGAGAATGTGAAGAAGGAATGTAATAAGTGGGTTGAGTTGTGGTGGAGGGCGGGTAGGATCGAGTTGATCGACTAGACTGGGGGCCGCCGTTTTGGCCCCAGCCCACCACCGTTACCTCAGCAAGCGAGCGTCGCCCGACGTTACAGGTTGCGCACGCCCTTCTCCATCTTGGTCTTGAGGTACTGTCTTACTTGCTCCGGCGTCTTCTGCCTGAGGAAGTGGTAGCCGTGGTTACTCAGAGGGTGCAGGAGCAGGTTGTCGTCCTTGCGGATGAAATCCTCTGCATCCGGTGCGCCGCTGGCCAGAATCACGTCAACCTCGCGACGGATCTGCTCGCAGAAATCCTCGAGGGGCAAATCGTTCACATCGTCGCCAAATGGGTTCTCAATTTCACGGCCAATAAGCGCAAGACCCAGTATAATATACGCCGCAAACATAGTTGCCGGAATGGTGACCCAATGAAGACGATCCCAAAGCTGGAAGGGCAGTACTATGATGTACACCCAGGTGATCTGCGAAATGGCAATTGAATATGCAATAGGGAGCGGCGTGTTGAGGATCCGGTCGGTCCCAGTCAGGATATCGTTCATCATCGTCAGCATATTGAGGGCTTGGGTCTGGTAGATGGGCGCCTTGAAAGTCTCGTTATCAATTACGCTTTTAAAGTACTCAGAACAATAGGTGAGTATTTCCAGCGGCACGTTTCCAAGAGGCTTGGTCGATTTCTTGATGAGTTTTCGCGGGTTGGATTCGGCCATGGGGAAGCCAAGAGCTCGGGCGGCTCGTCGCAGCGTCGAAGGGTTCGAGAGGTCGCGGGGTTCGGCCTTTGCGGCAAGCACGTTCAAGTGCTTGAGGCGAGGTGCCAGATCGTCATAGTGGGTGAAGGGTTCGAAACGAAGCTTGTGCTTGAGGGCATAGGCAAAGGTGACGAGCATGTTGCAAAAGGTTACTTTGGCGAGCAGGTCGTCGACCGCTGAGTCCTCCCTCTCGGCGACGTGTACCCAGACGAGTCGAGCAAGATTCTGCGTGGTGAGAGACAGCTGTGCCCAATACTTTCGTCCCTCAGCATATCGCTCATAGGCTGTAGAGTTACGAAAGGAAAGAGATAAACCGACGACGAAACCGAGAACTGTGAGAAGGACCGAGTCGATGCCAACTGGGATTGGAGGCGGTTGTTAGCGAGAAAAAGGCATGGGAGGTCAATGGTTCCGGGAAAGGGACGACAAACGATTGTATACAAAATGTGAGATACAGCTGATAGCCGTAGCCCAGGCGCCGGTGAAGGCTATCGGCAGGATCATCCGGGGTGTGACGCTGCCGTGAAGCTGGAGAAACATGGGCCATTTCGAGTGGTGAGCCAAGTTGCGGGGACCAACCTGAGTACGAGTTAGAAGGAAGGAGAGGAACATGAGAAATAGACGGAGAAGAAATTCTTCTTCTTCTTCTCTACCCGTCCACTGTGGCCGCACTCACAAAGTAGTCTTCGAGATTATCGGCCAAATCGTGATGATCGCCACTACTGGCGTTTTCGGGATCGCTGCCCACCACGGTGGCCATCGTACCCATAGTTTCGGTGCGCTTGGTGGAGGGAGGCGGCGTGGTTTCCGACATGATTCCCAATTCTGGCAGATGGTATCCTACTGATTAACGAGACATGTGAGGAGGGGTTGAGGAGAAATGGCGAAACAAAATCGGGGAAGAAGAGGAAGAAGGAGACGGGCCGGCACTTGAAGTTTTGGCATGGCCAAGCGAACTGACAATGCCAGAGCAATCAATGCAACGCGAGGCCGCTGGGGGCACTTTCTTTCTTTTTTAGTGACCATCTTAGGGGCCGATGCAGCGTTGTGGAACTGGGCACAGGGGGATCAAACAAAGGTGCGTCGCCCAGCTTCAGTGGACCCAATCCCAAGAGCCAAGCCAAGCACCCAAACAATAAGCTGCTTATTCCCAAGTCTGTGACCGGTATTATCGGATTATTGAGTCCTAATAATATAGAATACTGTATTTATTGTTCCTTCCTTCTGTTTTATACTTCTGAAATCCTCTATTTCTTGCAGAAAGTAGTCGATTAATAGCCAACTCTTCCCTTAGGTGTCTCATTTCTCATGTCACCCACTTGCAAGCCTTCGGGCGGTCGCTGGCGGCCTCTCGCAAACTCCAGCGGTGGCCTTGGGGCCCCTAACATGGACCCAGTAAGTTGGCCCCAGCGGCTCGCAAACCCACTGGCTGACACCTGTGCAGTGAATATATCCCTGTGCACGTATTACACATTTTTGCATTGGCAGCGGAGTCTGAACGCGCGGCCTCTTCACGTGTAGATGCTTGTCCATACAGTGTCTTTACGCTCTGTCTCAGTCCAGAACCAAGTCGAATCGCGAAGAGATGGTCCCTTGCGAACTCCAGTTCTCCAGCGCTTGTGGTACATGGCGGCATCCTTCGACCCGGAACGGGCCGCAACGATTTTGGTAGCCACTCGGTAGGAAGATTATTATAGCACAGAGTTGCATCACAAAAATAAAATATTCGGTTTGAGGTCCCACAGTCAACAGTGTCGACTGTGCGCCTATGCAGTTTTTATAGCTGTTTGTACGAGCCGTTTGAACGAACCTACATGCCCACTAACATAGCAGGTTCGTCCCAGTGCACCTTTCAAAAGTACCTTGCTCGGAGCATCGGTCGGTTGCGAGCAGATCATTGCAATGCCAGATACTTGGTCTTGGGTCAACACCGTGCTGTGCAGCTACAGGGAGCTTAACGCCCTTAAGGTTTCAATATTTGGGCTGACACATTCTTTGGACATGGTTTGAGCGGTGCATAAACCAGCCACCGCTGCAAAACCGTTGTACCACATTTGCGTCATTGGTCCTCATCATCATGCAACCAGAACATCAATTAGGTAATTCAAATATAAAAAAAGCACCAACTCAAACGCACATAGAAATCCTTATTACGCCCGATTGATGGATCTAATTATAGAACTGGGAGAATAAAATAGAAATGGAGGTTGGGGGCATCACAAAGACAAAAGCAAAGTCGGAGAAAGAAGCAACCCAGGTATGGCCGACCAAACCGCCATCTGTAGCGACAGCTAATTCGTAGAGACCTGGCTTGCGAGTCTGCACTTAAGACAAAAATTTCCTACTCACCGAACCTCTTTCGCTCGCTTCCGTCAAGACGGGCTCCCGCTGTAGATGTGAACTTAGCTGTCATTCCTTGCAGCAGACAACTCGTTGAAAATTCAATCAAGTGGGTTTACCCTATACCCATGAACCCGGGTGAATGCGACCACATCAAATCAGCGAAATGAATAGCTGTAGAGAGAAACCTTATTTCTCTCAATCGAAATCATTTGGATTTGATTCTATGATTAATTATATTAATCTAGGGAAATTTGGGACTCATTTGTTATTGATACGCTTTCTCATACGGAACTGATTGATGGCAAGCCATGCAATATGCGTTCCAGAACACCTCCGGTCTCGTCCACTTCCTCGTATTTTCTGTATGAGGTTCCATTTCTTGGTCAGGGGAACAGGGGGCGGCAAGAAGCCGCCAAGCCACCATGCACAATTCCTGCTGTTGGTGCCTTGCTGCCCTGCATGCCCCTGATTCCCAGCCCTGAAATCGACCCCAGTTGGGAAGCTCACCACATTCGTCTCCCAGTGTCCGATTGGATGGGCGCATCCACCGTCATCGTCTGCCTCAAGTTGGTGAGCAATGGGCGTAGAGGAGTACGTAACCAAGTGCTTGGCACTCTTGGCCATCCAAGAAATTACCAATTCCATCATCATGTGCTTACTCCCTAGACAGAGATCGAAGATCATCGTCGCACGCTCGCTGGGCTCTGAATTGCCAGCTAATGTAGCCCTACCCAGCCAACGCATCGTCTTGCCAGGTAGCATCTAGGGCCGCTATGTGGTCTTACGATTACATTGGGCGATTCGCTTCACCCCTTCACCAACAATGATTTTGACTTCGTCACTAGGCGCATCTATTTCTGATTTCTCACATCTCCCACTGAGTCAACCCTTGCCCTGCTAAATTTTTTTTACTTGAGCTGTCATGGCCTTTTGGCCAATCTGGCAGTGCCGCCTCTGCCATCGGTGCCCTCTATGTCACCACCACCGAATGGAAACAAGTCATTAATCGTTATATCCGTCTGCCTTCTGGACCCATATGTTCTTATAGGAATCATATGCCGCGTTTATTTTGAGTACTGCCACCAGAAACGATCAGATTTAAGCAGCAAAGCAAACGCTAACCTTTTCAATTGATGAGTGAGTTGCGCTTCAAGCGCAATTGATCCCCTTAACGTTCTTTGCATCAGGCTTAAATGACTTGATGCAACTAATCTTAATCGTGTACGTATTCTAATGGATTCGAAAGCAGCATTTAGAGCTATATAATCAAAATAGTTTCCTTGCCAGTGTTATATGTACCTCAGGTGTTCAGGACCTGCACCAATTTGAAACCGAGCGACGAAAGCAATAATTCAAAGCTTCAGGTGTGAAAGAATGCAGAACCTTGCCCTCTACATGTATGAATGATAGGGTGGCATGAAGGTGTACATTCGCCAATTCCGACAGATCTATAGACAATATAGTAGACAGTACGTAGGTAGATAAGAACAACTCTAAGGTGCTATACAAGGTAATGTTGGAATTTATTCTTTTAGGCAAATCCTGACATAGGTAGTCAGGTTTCTGCTTGACGAGGGCCGGTTGTTAAGATGAACGAAGTCTCAATTACCTATGAACGCTTTTGTGTCCCCGAGTCTAAATAAAAATACACATGAACAACAACCGGAAGCAGGTGCCGAACATCGACAATCAGCGTGAAATCGTTATGTTTGATCTAGCCTTTGTAACCTCTGTCCTCCTGGCGAGCGGCGCCGCATCCAACCACCCGGCGACTATTAGATCTTGTGCTAAATCCAGAGCACAGCCTATCGAATTGGTGAATGGCGAGCGGAATATGCTGAAGGACGCAGCAAAGAAGAAATATTTAGCTATGAGGACGGCTAATTCCCTTCCTCAAGGGCAGCCAAATGCCATCTACAGAAACAGTGGAGATTCTGTGATAAGTTCCGATGAGTGAGCCAAACTGTTCGAGGACTGTGGCATGCAGCCGCTGTAAGCTCTTTGCTAGGAAGATACTATGACGATGGTCGTGTGGCATTCCGTAAATGGTGGTCATAAACGGATGGTGTTTATTGGCGATGGCTATCAGGTTCATGTATATTGAGTGGGCTGACAACAGCCTGGTCCCTTCGTACCTATTTGAATGCGCGTGTTGATAGGTTTTTTTCTCATAAAACCATCTTCTTCTTCACTCAAACTAGGACGCTATGGTTTCATATTGCCTGTAATATTCGCCCTCGCCCTCCATGACAATGCCTTATATGTATGGAGCTTGATGACTGCGAGTCGGAAGAGGGGTGTGTTGTGGGATGATTGCTTTGCGTATAGATTCTTTACCTGGCCCCATAGAGACTAAACAATCTTTATGGAAGACAAATTGATCTCTTGAGTTGAGTTGAGGCTTAGCACATGACAATATCCTACTTATGTTGTTGCTATATGAGAAAAAGAACATCCGTTGCCCGGTGAAAAAGTTATATCTGGCTGAAGTTACGTTGTTGAACATCATAACTACAGAAATCGTCTCACACAGGTTCAAGTACAAGGTGGATTCTCGAGGGAGGCGATGCTGCCGTTAACATATTACAACTCGTTTGGTAAATTGTGGCCATGCTTTCTTCTCCCCCTCAGGCTACAGTTTGGTAAGTACAGTGTGGCTTGACTTGTATCAATCGAAGCAAAAGATGGCTGGTTTTGAGTTTGTGTTCAAGATTTAAAAACATTAAATTCAACTGGATAAAGATAATGAGAGAATGTAGGGCTTTCACCACAGCGAAATCTCAAGGGGTGAAGGCAAGAGATGCTCTTAGGGCACGTAAACCGAGCCCAAGCGAAGTTCTCTATCTAGTCATCAACACCGGTAGGTGTCTGGCACAAGACACCTTGTTCAAGCTGACATTTGGTTAGCAACTGACTGGACAGTCTTGTCATCAATCTTAGGAAACATACAACCGGGAGCACACAGCATCGTGCTCGCTGACCAATCGCAGAGCAGACCGAGCTGAACTCGTCTGGGCTTGCCGGGAGCGAAGGTGCTGAGATGCACAAGTTAGAAAAAAGGACCTGTACTGAGATTCACCGATAGAACTCACGGTTACCGCAATCCAAGTCTACGAGGCCCAAGACATCGGTTGCGCAGCATTGGGCGGTGCCATAGAGCCCAGAACACGCAATGTATGTCTGACGCTTTGCGGCAGGGCTTGCACTCGCAAGCTGGGCGAGGAGAACAGCGGCAGCTAGAACGTTGATTCTCATTTTGTAGAGATCGGGCGAGGTTGATTTTAATGCTTGAAGAGAGATGAGATTAAGCGAAAGTGATGAGTTGAATGAATACCAGATATTTGCACGAGGACACAGGTATTTATACCCGCGAGCCACCATATGTATTCTCTCCTCCTCAATATAAGACCGTCTCGCTTGATGAAGAATCCAGCTCTGAAATTCGTTGTCAAGCAGATAATGCATCCTACTTCTTTTGAGACGATGTAACCTATTCCAACGCATACCCTGCTCTGACCCCATTAACAACGTCCCCCCCGTAGCTTAATCTGGCGAAAACCGGGTAACTGAACCAATTAAGACGGGGAATTGGTTTACCCCTGGGATCGGCGACACCCATAGACCTGACGATCTGTGAAGTGAATTTTGGGCTGTAGGGCTTAAGAAATACGAGACAGTGGCAAAATGCAACGCTCGCGAGAATCATTACCATTACCGGAGCCCCCGGCACCGCCTCGGTGAGTCCCTGCTTATACCTCGAAATCTAGTCGATTACGTCGAAGACTGGGATGGGAAGTTCCGGTATGTTAATATAAGGTATCACACCTATAATAGCTTCTGCCTTGGTCTTGTGGAACGTTGCGACGCATTCCCCTGCAGTTATTTACCTCTCTTGCCACTTCTTGTAGAGAGACCTTTCCTTGAATAAAGTGGCGGCTCATTCCACTGCATGTGATAGGGCAGCTGAGACGAAATACCGGAGAATTGGTAGGGAGACAGGGGGACTTGAGCATTGCTATCACAGTTACATTCACTAAATCACTAAATGCAACATATGTCATAATGCCTGTCAAGCTGAACCGGTTTGCCGAGAAGACTAAGGATCGACCTCATAACAGGAGAATATTTAGTACGAAGCATAAATTGTTGAAAATATCGAACGAAACCAGGGAAATTACTGGATAGGGAAGCTTCAACTATCTGAAGTCTTGACGTCAGTTATACCTGGTTGCGTTTCAAGTGTCCCGAATCTAATTAGTCTAGAGCTGTTTAGCTGTTGGTGTGGCTGGAGCTACTACGGCCACTTTACATGGAGAGGAACAAGCCCCCTGGAGCAGCTGAAAGATTCGTAACTTGGAGAGGCAAAAATTGCTGACGCGAAGTCAGAATCTGTAAGAGGAATGGAGGGTTGATCATGCCAAGTTAGTCTTGGATGTAAAGTACTTTCCTTTAACCTACATAGCTCGCCATCGGGGACACGTAGGCCACTCACTGCATCATGTCTCGACCAACGCGAAGTTCCTGGGCGGTCCATTTAATAAGAGCCCTCATGGTGCAGTGGCGAGCACATTTCTGTGTTGCCTCCCCTGTGATGTACTCACACCGAAGCCGTCTATACGCAGAATCCCCTTGCCTCCAAAGGTAGGCCAAGAAAACAGGTACATCATGGGCGCCACGGGGGAGAATTCGGTTCGAATCTGAACGGGACCCCCTTTTTTATCCTTTTCATCTTTCCAGGCTCTTTAATCAAGTAAAACACTTCCATGACGTGCTGGGTGAAGGAGCTTCTTCATCAATTTGATCATTGGATTAGCCCTTCCCATATTCCAATTGACTGCTTTTGAATTTCAGGGTTGAAGTAAAGGAAGGCTTAACGGCCCAGACTAGCATCAAGCTTCTGTTAAGCTTTTGGGATGATCTTTCCTCACCGCTGTTTGGGTTGGCCCGGAGTAATTGTTCTGTATGGCCTGATCTTTCTGGGGTAAGAAAGGGGTTCCTGAAAGATTTAACATTTGAGGTAACAAGAAGAGAAAGTCAGGATTAACCCGAACAGCCGTGAAACATTTGATGGGCGTAATATAATGAAACAGTTCTTATATGAGCGGCACATCTTCTGCAAATACCTAGTGACTTGTAGAGTATAGATGCTCAATATATTGCGGTTGTTTTTATTACTAAAACTAGAGATACATTATGCCACCAACGCCTAGAAATATGCAAAATAAACCTGGGTCTGAGGTATCCCATTCGTTGTGCCATTTTAGGCGTTTAGAGTTTACAGCAGCTGGAACCAGAACCAGAGCCAGAGCTAGCACCAGCAGTCAGCTCAGATCCCAAATCCTTGTCCGAGGGGACGTCGAGCGCCGGGTTCTTGGTAAAGAAGTCGACGGGCGTGATCGAGAGGTTCAGCATCTCGACCGGCATCACGGGCCAGTCCTCGATGCGCGGGTTGTGGGTCAGGCCAAAGACGCTCCAGACCACAATGTCCTGGTTGAGGACGTCGTCGTTGCGGTCCGCGGCGTCGCTGACGCCGCCAATCTCCCGCTTGCTCTGGAGCGTGTAGCGGCCTCCAGCGAAGAACTCATGGTCCTTGTACTTGGTGACCCAGAGGTGATGCTTTGCAAAAAGGGCTCGCTGGGCTTGGCGGCTGTTGGGGTCTGCGAGGAGCAGCTGGGTTGCGGGCGGGATGATCTTGTACCCGACGGGTCTCTGGGTGATGGGGTTGATCTTGTTCAGGTTCTGGATCTTGAAGACGCGGTTGTTGAATGGGGCGGCATCCAGACCGGCTGATGTGGTGATTGGCGTGTGGCGCACCTCGTACAGGTTGCCCTTGGGGTTGGTGCGCTGGTCAAGGCGGAGCGGAAGGCTCTCTTCCTGGATGACAGTGTTTTCGTGCCCGTCAACTGAAGGATCGACACGGATGCAGAAGATGTGCTGGTGGTTTTGGGCCAGGGCACCAGGGCTGACCACATTGCCCCAGGGGGCGGTCTTGCCCTGATCGATATTGACAACGGATACGATGCCGGTGGCACGTGCCTCGATGTTGATACCGGCGGCTTGGTCGAACTTGAAAGCAAAGATGTACTCGTAGTTGGCAAGCGTGATGATGAACTGGATGACCAGCTCACGGCGACGGGTGACCACCGCTCGGCCCGTTCGCCAGTTGGTGTGCTTCCAGTTGATGCCGTTGTCTTGTTCGTGTAGACAGATGACGTTCTTAGTCTCTTCGGCATCACCGTTGGAGTTGATAAGAACACCATCAAAGTACTGGATGAAGGAAGGTTAGCTGGTGAACTGAGTAAATAACGAGTAACAACAAGGATGTATACATACCTTAATCACACCAAGGCAGTCGCAGCCCAGAGTCAAGTTATTGACACAGTGACCAAGGCCTCCGTCACCAAAGTCAAAGGCCTGCTTCCGGTGGTATGGAGGACGAGGGTCGGCATAAGGAACCGTCTAGGGAAAGCCACAAGTTAGCAGGGTTGCGAGCCTTGAAGAAAGGGAGAAGTGGGCGTGGGAAGGAAGAGGCACTGGATACATACCATATCGCTAATACTCAAACGATACATGACAGGACGACCATCATATCGGACATCATGTACAACAGCACCTTCTCGAGAGTTGAATGTGACTCTCATTCTCCACTTCTGCCACTTCAAAAGGTTGCCATCCGTGATGGAGAAACTGGGACCCTCAGGCTGGACAACGGTCAAGGGCTTGAGATCCTTCCTGACACCCCCGGGCAGCAGCTCGGGGACATACTCGCTCTCTAGGCAATGATCCACAATCTCGGGCTTGTGGGTTTTGGCAGTGAGGCTTTCCCCTCGGCCTCCTGTAGCTGGCTCTTCGATGCGAACAATCGTCTTGGTTGCAGCGTCCATAACAGGGATGAGCGGCAGGGGGTAGGCATAGAAGTTGGAATCTGGGTTCCCGCTGCGGGTATCCCTGGCAAACATGAGAGCCTGGAAGTAGCGATTGTCACCATCCTCAATGTCAGGGGCGCCGTAAGGCCATGGCTCCACAATGACCTCGAATCCCTCTGGCAGCTTGAGCTCAGAGACCTTTTGTTGGAAGAGAGCGTCTGCTTGAACACAGTTTACAAGTTCTTCAAACTCCTTGCTATAAACAGGCAGTGTCAGTAGAGCGACCAATTAGACGTGGACACAGGGGGGAGTGGCCCTCTTACGTGGTCAAACTGGACTGGTGCTCAGTTCCGATAACCTTGTGGTCAACAACTGCCTTGAGATTCAGGTCGACTACGGCCTCGTTGTACTGTGCCTTGGCCTTGCCACCAATGACATCGTAGAACACCTGGGCGCACCTTGCCGGTCTCGGAGACGAGGGCGTGAGCTGGCGCGAGTGCTCAAGCTCGAGGAACCGGAGCACATCGGCCTTGGGTGGTTCCCAGAGGTAGTTCTGGCGGAAGAAGAGGACCGTGCCGGGGTGAGCTGCCGTGACGACGTCCCGAGCGAGATTGGTCTCCTCAATGGAGAGAGCTGACAGTGGGTGAGGAGCCGCCATTTGTCCAGTGATGCCTCAGCGATAAAGTAGCTATGTGATTAACCTGTGAGAAAGGGCCCAAAACTCATTATATGGTTGGACCTTGGAGTGACGTACTGAATTCCTTGTTCTCGTGATTGGCACGGTTTCTCCCCGCGTATTTGAAGTTCGGCTAATGAGCTTCATGACGATCATCGGAACGAGGCCTCGGAACAGACGAAGGGGCCTAGTCGAGGACTTCATCGGAATGTCGTCGGAACGTCGGAACACTCTCAATCGAGATAGTCTTATCTTGCGCTATTAACCCTTTCCAATGTGCTGGGGCAGTTAGACTAAACGGTTTCAATGCTAGCTGCTCTGATTACCGTATTGGGACGTGCCTTTGATAAACCTTTGGAGGATGATTGGACGTATTGATCTAGCGTGGCAGAGAGAGCCGCGTCGTGGAGTTGAGACCATTGAGATAATGGGGGAGCATCAAGATAGTCAGAGATCTTATCGTGATTGTATATTTATTAATAAAGAGAACCTGGAGTTGAGCTGAGGATTTTCGTTGTGGATAAGTAATAGAAAAAGATCTGAGGTTCCCATCGATCTGTCTTCACAACCATGGAAAACGCAAAGATGAAAGATACAATGGAATTGCACAAAGTCAACTCCGACCCCAAAGTGTCCGCCAATGCCGATGATGCTCGGCTTGCGCAGCTTGGGCATGTCCAGGAGTTGGAGCGGCAGTATTCCTTGCCGGCGTT